TACTTAGACATTGATGTGGAGAGGAAGGTGATAGAAGACAAACTTAAGGAACTTGAAGCTCAACAATTGACATCAAAGGAAGTGACGATAGCCATGAAAGACCTTGGCATTCAAAGGTTAGAAAAGATCTAATTCATTTAGTGTCATTGAGATAATATATCTTTGTTATTGAACCGACGAGAGTGCCTATTGCAAATAACCTTTCCACCTATTCAATGTAGGGGAAAGTTCTGCGTACCTTTTCCAGACATCACTTGTAGGATCACACTGAATTTTTTGTTATTGTTGTTGTTGTTGTTGAACCGATAATGTCAGTCACTATTTTTCCGATTTAAGTAATCTAATTGCGTAAGTATTTTCTATACCGTCAGTTAGGGGTATACAAAAGAAACCGAGAAACCGCACTAACCCGATAATCCGAGTCAAACCGAGAAAAAAAATCCGACTATGGTTTGGTGTTGGAATAAAAACCCGACCATAATTGGTTTGGTTTGGTTTTAAATAAAGAAAGTCAAACCAAAACCAAACCAACTCGACATTACATATATATAGAAATTTTAGATATATTTAATATATACTTGTTGTGATGTAATTTATAAATATTTATTAAAAAATTTCATAATTTTATCTTTTAAGGTATTATTTCAAGGTTGGACTTAGAACTTTTGAATGTTCCAATAAGTTTTATAGCCATTAACATTAGTAAATTAAAGGAATTTTTATACCCTATAGAAAACCTTAGTACCATATTTATTTTAAATAAATGTCATTTTAAAATATTACATCCTATAAGTACCTTTTATCTTTTATAGCAAAAAATCTAAATATAGTTACATCCTACAATTAAGGCACCATATATGCTAAATATTATTTTTCTCTCTCCCTTTTTGTATTTTCTCTCACATAATTACCGCGTATCTGCAAACCCCAATACAATCTCTCTCTGTTTGCATACAACCAGACTCTCTTCTCCCACAAACCCTAGTTTCTTAACTCTTCTCCCACCCAAATTCTCAATTTTCAATCCTTAAACTATCAGAATCATCAATTACATATATATGTGGAAGAGTCCAATGCAGTGAGTGTGACATATCTCTTTGCATCTGTTATCAAAGAAAAGGAGGAGAAGGAGAGAGATTGAGTACGGGGAAGTATCAAAGAAATTGACTCCGAGGCGAAAGGCTTCACGGACGGCGGCAAATGCGTCTTGTTCGGAGACATCCCCGAAGACTTTGCCAAGAGGATAACATGTAAAGATTCCTTTTCACGTACCTTTTCAATTTTTGTAGATGTGTTAGGGGGCTGACCAGCCGGAATTAATGGCTGGCCGCCGGCCGGCGAAGCCATAGGACTGTTTCTCTCTCTAGATCGCCCAAATCGCCTGTTTGTATTCAGTTGTATTCGAATGTATTCTTCAGCTGTATTCACTTGTATTCAGGTTTAATCAGTTGTATTAAACTATTTTATTCAGCAATAGTTAGTTGTATTCAAGTGTTTTATACAACTGTATTCAGTTGTAGTTAGTTATATTCAACTATTATATTCAGCAGAAGTTAGTTGTAGTTTCATTCAAGGGTTTATTCAGCTGTATTCAGTTGTATTTTTGTTGTAATCAAGTGTTTTATTCAGATGAATTAAGGTGTATTTTGTTGTATTCAACTGTATTATTCATATGTATTTCTCTTTATTCAGCTATAATCTTATTATGTATCTTTCAAATACAGATTAATGAGGGATCGTTTTAGTTCGTTGAGTTAAATTAGGAGAATATCATGTGATTTTATTTCCTTCCGTTTTTAGCGCAAATACGTTACTGTATTTAATATTAATGTCGCTTGAATACAGCTAAATACATGTCAAACTTAGCTGGAATTTCAGATTTTATGCCTATATTTTTGGGTGTATTAATAAATACAACAGCTTAAATTCATGAAATACATTGTATATAAACATAAAAGGTATCTATAACACGTAATATAGCAAAGGGTATCTATAAATGACTAATTAGACCAAAAAGATGGTGCTTTATGAAAAATTCTCTAAATTAAATAATGCTAACAAAAGCCCAAACCAAAATCACATCAATATTAATGCTAACAAAAGACATTCAATTCAATACTACGAATGGAATGCATTGAATATCTATTTTTTGTCTTGCAATAATTTAGATAAAAATACATAACCTATTTTTATTTTTTCTTTAGCATTTAGGCATGCAATTAATACTCCCTTATTTGTCTACTTATTTTAGCATGACTTAGTACTTAGATTATATATGTTTATTTTTATTATGCCTTTTTAATTAGCAATATTTATATTACATAATTTTATTGTCTTTATTGTTGAATATTTTAGGATAATGCCATGACACATCTCATATTTTGTATTATTTTCTTGAAAAATATTTTATATAGTTGTATCTTACTAGGATTAAAGAAGTATTTTGACCATAATTTATATGTTTTGTTCTACGAAGATTTTACCGGAAAACCTCCCCCCCCCGAAAAAACCCCGAATAACCCAAAAATTCGAGAAAAATCGAGAGTGAAAAATCCGAGTTTTATTGATTTGGTTTGGTCTTTAGATTTAATAACCCAACACAATTAGTTTGGTTTGGTAACTGTATAATCCGAACCAACCCGACCTATAGTACATGGAAATTACGCACAATATTACTTTTCGAACATTAACATGGCATATATTGATCATTTTAGGGCAACTTTGCATGGGTGGCCAAACACATATTCCTTCACCAAGATTAATTCGACGAACCAAATATTTTACTCTAAGTTCTTGAGATAAAAGTCTTCATTATTTTCAACATGGCTTCTTCACTAGTTTTTTTTAGCGGGAGGTCTATTCAAAACAATCTTTCCATAAAGTAAGAGCTAGGTCTGCATACACATTAGTTTCCCTGAACCCACACATCTAAGAATATCTTGGGCATATTATTGTTATTGTTTTTGAGATAAAATAAAGCACCTAGCATGATAACAACTAGGTCGGGAATCCAAATTAGAGTAAGAATTTGAGAAGTAAATGCGGAAGC